CCGCGATCGACTTCCGTCGGACCACCCGGATGGGACTGTGCGACGATTTTACAACAGATTCCTGTGATACTTTTTGAAATGGACTTGGAATTACCTTTTGCATATATTGATTAATTTTCTATTGCGCCCATACATTTTGTTGCATTACTAGAAAAGTAATAAAAATTAAAAATGGGGTTGCAATGCTCAAATTTTGAAAACCCATGACATTATAATTGAAAATATAATTGAAAGTATGGAAAAAAAGTGATGCTATGCATATTTACTATTCTAATTAACACTAAAAGAGTCGACGATATCCTGCTAAAACTGCTAAAAGTTGGTAATTTTCTATTCTTATTTTCGATTAGTTATTAAAAATTATTTTGATATTATGTATCGTTACTCTCTAAAACTTTTAGAATGAATCTTACTCTTAAAAATTGAAAATGAATTCACTCTTTATCAAGACTTGAGAGCGAGATTCCATTCCGAAGTATTTAGACAGTAGAATTATTTGTATTATATTATATTCCCTTTTTTTTATTATTCTATATCGTATATCTAATACAAAAGAAAAACAAAATTAAAGTAATTAGCAGAGCTAAAATAACATTATCAGCGATATTAACGTTAAAGCCTTGTTTCAATTCAGAATTTTAAAAGTTGCTAACTTTGAGAGTTGCTTTTCTATCAACACAGCGATTTATATAATATAATGTTCGTGACTTCTTCTGCATCTAAACAATTGAGAGTCTCCGTTTATTTATTTCTTCATTTCTGCCTTGCAAAATGGAATCGTTTTCCTCGTGAATAAGCTTGAGCGATCAGTTCATCGAATGTATTATACAGCAGATCCGAGTTTGAACAAACCGGCAGAAGTCACAGAAGGCACGTTAGTCGCGCGAGCGAATGGCAGCGAAAGCTTGTCGGCGAGGAGCAGCTGATTTATATCCATCGTGGTCGGGGCACTCCGAGTAATTCCGCTGCGACGGGTGCACGAGTAAACGTACTCGTATATGCTGTTTATCTTCGCCCACGTGGCGAAGCTCATTCTATCACGTGTCTCGATATCCTTCAGTTCCGAGATTGATTAAAAGCGCGAAAATATTTAGATCAAACAATTGTTTGACTTTTCAAAATCGAAAAATATTAGAAGGGTTGTTAGCTTTATTTTTAAGCGTTGTTTGTTTAGAATATATATTTCTAATATATTTAGAATTTACATGACATTCTTACGATTATTACACTGAAAAAAATACTAAATTTTAATACAATAAATATTTGAATAATTTTAAGTAAATATTTACTAAATGTAAACATATATTTATTTGACGGCACAAAAATCATTAATTTGATTTAACTATCATTTTTTTTATTAAGTAAATATTTATTTACAGTAAGTATTTACTTATATAATATTCAAAGAAATATGTATTAAGATTTAATAAATATTTTTCAGTGTATGTTCTTTAGCTTTCTGAAAAAATATAAAAAGGTTTAAAGAGTCTCCTTTCTAGAGTCTTCAATTAATAGATCCCAGCGCGGTCGAAAGAACAATCCCATCGACCAAATGGAACGAAACGTGCATTTCCGCCGCATATTTCGTCGCAATCCCTAATTCCAGTCACTTAGGTATCTCGTCCATAAATTACTATTCAGTCTGTCCGGCTATACTCGCGAAGAACGGGACCAAGGAGCCAGGAGGAGACACACAGGTGCTGTGTAGAGACCAGTGCGGGGGCTGCCAAATGCGCGGTCTGCACCGACAAATTTCGACCGGCCGATCGTGGTTATCGTTTGATCCGGTCGCGAGATTTCGCTATCCCGACGCTTAATCCTCGTTGGTCGTCTCGATTCCGATGCGATGTCGGTCGCCCGATTCCAATCCCAAGGACCGAGATATTTGGCTGCGTATTCGGTGCGCGCGTTAGACCGTCTCTCAAGTAAAGCAATCGCCAAGATCAGACAACAACGCGGCGGCGTTTGTCCCTTTATCCGCCTACCCTTCTTTTACGCAACCCCTTCCCGTCTGATAGCGAAAGTAGCCACTGGCTGCAGTCGGGCTCTCCTTTGTCAGAAAACGAAGCCTGCTGACAGAGCGAAGGTGGTAGTCGACTCCGCAGAATTAATCGCCTCGGGGAATATTTATGTTCTCTCGTCCAAAAGGGCCCTATGCCATCGCTTGTCTCCATCTCGCTTTTTCTCCCACGACAGTCCTCGGATTCGGTATTCCTTCTCCTCCTCCATCGTGGAGATCCTCGCGGTTAGATGCGACCGTGAATCGGCGCTTCGCGACGATCGCTTACGCTAGTCTGATCTTATCGCGATGGAGACCGCAGCGGGGGTGAAAAAATGTTAAATGCCACGCGACAAAACGTGAAACGAACATAAAACGTATACTAGAGTATAATTAATTTCCTGAATATTTTAATTATACAATTAAGAGAAATAAATCTATTTTCGGTCAAAGCGAATCTTAGTGGTTAGATATTTCAGAGCAAATTTATATTTTTTCGCAATAAATAAAATCTTAGATTTACATGAAATTATTAATATTCTTTTAAAATGCTTATTAACATCAAAAATTATTAAATAACTTATCAATTTAATTTGTGATATTACTACTCTAATTGAAGAAATTGATTAAATCTGAAAATCTTATATCAAATGTGTTATTAATTTTAGTTTTCACAGTTCAGAAATTATGAACTTTTTAAAATAATTCTTATACATAACATTTTAATATTTGAATTTAATAATTTTCGTATGTATTCAACACAACAATTTCTGTTAAAGCGAAACTGTAACTAAGCTTGTTAGCTTAGTTATAACAAATATGTGAAATATGGGAGGAAATATTTTTATTTTCCATGTAATAAAGCAATTGGCAAAACACGCTTTTTCGGGAAAAGGGATGTTGCTGTTCAAGTTAGCACTTGGAATCTACTTTTCTCGTCATTCCGATAGAAAAGGACGTTCGAATGTGGCGGTTTGCACACGGAAGTTTGCTCTATTCCCCAAATAATGTTAAACGCGAAAGGGCGGAGGTATTCTATTGTCACTGAAACCTTGGTCGGTTTATGATTTTCCAACAGTGTTTATTTAGACGCCGCATCTCTTCTTTTATCAATATTTCCCAAAACATTTCATATTTATCTAACTTCTGCGGTATCCAGAAGTTCACGTTTATATGTTTTCGTACGCGAAAACTCAGAAGCGGAACTGAAGCGATCCACTGCCTTATTTAATTAACTTCCTTAATTGTTTAATTAATTTTTACAGCATGGAAAAATCACTATAAAGTAAGGTGATACAATTTCGAACATACATATAATTCTAAATGAAATAAGATATGAATTCAATTTTCAGAGTTCAAGTTTAATTTTTTCCTGTTTGATACTCTTTAGTATCCTCGACACAATTAAAGAGTTAAACCTCAAAAATTAATTGTACGTGTTCAAAATTGTACCACCTTAGTGGAGCTGAAACACTGTTATATTTTGAGAATACAATGGAATAATGAATTATAACAAATCTTACTCAGGAAAAGCTGTATATAAGAATTAAAAATAAAAGAATTAAAAATAAATCCCCGTCTTATAAAGGTTTTAAAGAATAATTGATTCGGGAGGTTTCAGAAAGTTCTAGCGCTCTTACACGTTAATGCTAATAAGTACTTGTTTCGCGAAATTTGAAAGTTTGAAAGAAAAATAGATCGAGAATGTGTAAGATGCACACTCTGGACGCGCGACAAGGAAGAAAAGGAAGGAAGGAGTCATCGCTGAAGGAAGAAGTCTGCAGGTTCTCAAATTGCGATGAAACCGGGCACCGACGCGTCGCGCGGGTTTCATATAACGACCGGACCACCGATGGCGGTGCTGCCCATCTCTTTTACTTCTTCGACGGATACTCATTCATCCATCGACCCCGACGCGTTGCCTGATTCTTGCTCGAAGGAGTTGCATGCACATACGAAAAATGGATCGATATTGACAAATAATGATAACGAGTCTCGAAAACATAAACTTGAAAATATGAGAAACATGGGAAGTTAGATAATTGAAATAATTTTGAATATATTATGTGTGATATAACGCGGTCATAATTATTTAAAGATTAATAAGGTAATACAGCTATGTAATAAGATATGTAAAACTATATTGTAGAACAGTTATTGTAGAATAGTTTTATTTTGTAAAAATACATCGCTTTTTCAGTCTCGCAGGTAGTATACCTATATGCTGTATTAAAAATAAATTATAATATGCACAATTCAGCGGACGATATAATACAGCGCTTACGGTTAACTAATTTAACGGGCTATAATACAAAATTTACAGATATATTTACACGTATCGCTAATATTGTGTACGAGATCGTTATTATCAGTTATCACACTTTTCGGTATTATTTATGGAGGTTCTATGGATATGAAATAGTCACAAAGATGAATTTCAAAATTGTTGAAAGTATAAAATTTGTGGAAAAATATTGATAAATATTATCAAATGTGATTTTAAAGCAATAGATACAAATTGACGAAATGATGACTCGTTCGACAATTTGTCAATTACATATACAGACACTTTTTTAATTTAAAGGCACATGTCTCAGATGCGATAATTATTAGCCTATTAAAATTAATAATTGTCCAAATCATTATACTAGATCTATCGGAATCAACCTACTGGATTCTATCTTTCTGATCAAATAGTTTTCATGCAGAACTTATAACTCTGTCATTTTATTCGAAAACAGTTTTGCTAAAAATTTATGTAGACACAGATCCTAAAATAATTCTGTTAAACTATCAAAATTATTATGTAGGACGTTTAAACTGGTTGCTAAAATGTTAAAACTTTTTATAGCATTATTTGAGTTTCCTACATAATTATTTAGATAATCCAAGAAAAAAAAATCGTTTTTAATTATTTTTAAATCTGTATCTATCTAAATTTTTATACATCAATAAAATCTTCTTTTCATGTAGCTTGGATAGTTTTAACTTCGATCGTGGTTTAATAATGTCTAGAAAAAAACTCGCGAATCACTACTCTACAGAGAGAAGTACTCGCTGACACTCGTTAGGTCGGCTTTTTTTTACTTGGCGAACTTGACTTCCGGTATCGCGGCGAACGAACGCACTCCCTCTTTCTCTTCTTCTTCTTCCTTCTTGCGTCTCCCTCTTTTTTACTGCAGCAAGTCGTAAAGTGCAGTGATGTAGGATTGAGCCATCTGCAGCGTCTCGTATTTCGATAACTGTCTATCGTTGCCCAGGGTCGGCAGATAAGCGCGCAGCCTGTCGAACGCCTTGTTCAGATTCTGCATCCGCCTCCTCTCGCGCGCGTTCGCGGCCAGCCGGCGTTTCCTCACGATGGTTGAGTTGACGTACTTGCCCCTCCTACGGGAATCGCGTCCGCCGGAAGTGACGTGCGCATTCTCCGGATGATCCGCGCCTCCGTCGCTGACCTCATCCGCATCCTCCTCACTGTCGCCGTCCAACGTTCTGTCGGACAGACCGCCGCTGCTGGAGTTGCTGATAATGCTGCCATGGCAGGATCGCGTTTTATCGGCGTCCAGGTTGATCGTCTCCTCGACGTCCTCGCGCTCGACGTCCAAATTGATCATCTCTTCGGCCACGAGGTGGTCCACGTGCAGCCGTTTGTTCCCGATGTTACTCAGCCCGATCATCGATCCTCTTCTCGTCGTCATGTTTCTCTTGTCCTTGATGGTCGAGCCCAGTAGCCGATATGTCGGCGCACTGTTAATCGTTTCCGGCTCTGAGGAGATCGACAACGTGGTAGCGGGACTGACGGATCGCAGACTGGCCGTTGGACTCGGGGTGTGCCAGCCGTCGCTGCAATTGCTGCTGTCGTAGACGAGGTTGTGCGGCACGGTGAGGGTGCTGACGGGTGGCAGGCCAACGGCGGTCTTACTCGTCGTCTTCGCGTAATTCAGGTCCAGGTACGCGCAAGCGGGCACGAGCGGTTCATCTTCGCGCGGCGGGAACATGTATCCATAGCGAAACATCTCCTGCAGTTCCATAGCAGGATCTGCGCGTTGGATCGATGCACACGACGATTCCACGTAGACAGCGAAGAATAAGTCTTTCTTTTCTCCTCGATTAAAAAAAAAAAAAAAAAACCCTTTTCACTGAAACTCCGCACTTCTTTCAACGGGATGGAGAACAAAGACACCGGCCTCCTTTGTTTTTCCGCGGCCTTGGTGCTCTTAACTGGATCGCGATTGAGTCGAACGAGATATCAAAGAGCACGATGATACTAAAATCGACGACAGTGGAATAGGACGAACCCGGATGACTTTCTCGCGCGTCGATCGATTCTCGTCCAGTCGAGCCACGGGGTGGTTCTGAAGTCGGGTGGACCGGAGCCGGGATATTTATGCGTTCGCGGAGCGAGGCACCCTCGCGTAGCACGTGCCGGGCCACCAATCGTGCTCGAGCACGGTTCCCCACTTTGCGATTGGTACCGGGGCCCCGGACCCGACTGGACTGGGATACGCGAGCGGGGGCCGCAACAGGTGGCCCGGCGCCTCCGTCGTACACGCACGATCTTCTCGCACATGGAGCCGCCATAACCATTAAAGTCATAGCGCACAAAAAGATGTGAGCAGAGGAACTTGAGTGGCGAACGAACGAATCGCGGTCAAGCATTCTCGAAAATGAATTGAGCTAGGAATTGTAGTTGGATTGACTTGCTGAACTTCTACTTCTTTCTTTTTTTTTTTATCTATACAGAATCGAATATTTTCGTTTAGAGTTTTTTTGCGATGTGCGCGAAAGGACGCAATTAAGTGGAATTATAATGGCGATGAGTATCCTCTTTTGTAACAACTTGCTGCCTACTGCACACTACCTGCTACCAAGACACTTCCTCATTTTACGTTCTTGCGCCGTTTTACGTCAAACGCGATACCGGAAAATTACTCTTAACATGTGCACAGGGGAGAATATGCACCTCGTGGTCCGATACAACAGACCCTCGTGGCAGGTGGAAAGTATTATATTAAGTATTGCAATTGGAACACCTTATTTTATATACCTATCCAACAATAATTTATCAGAATGCAAAAGATGTCGTAAAAATGAGTTCTGTCATTTTTTTTAAACGTCATGTATATTACATGCGAAAATAATCTTAAAGATTCATTGAATGAAAGTATTAAAAGTAAAAGATTTTTGAATCGTATTGCACAAATCTCAGAGTCCAAAATATTATCTTCTTAAAAGAGAACGCTTTACGTTTTTATCTTTATTAATTGTGGCAAAGTGCAAGTTTATATAAAAATTCATTCACTATTACACTCGGAAAAAAAGACATATTAGTGATAACTATACAATTTTTTTATATGAAGAATTAATGTATATATACATAGTTAAATAAGGCATTTTACAATTTCTGAAATTATATATTGTACATTAATTCTACATGTAAAATTTGTACAGTTGTATTTAGTTGCCATTTGCATGATTAAAATAACTATAAATACATAGTTGTCCCTAAAAATGACAATGTTGTCTCTATAAATTACAGCTAAATTATTGTAATTGCATTTTTTCTCTCAGTGTATAAATTAAGTTCAGGTTGTATCTTCCGTGGGTGATACCTTATAGAGCTGATTCCTTGCACTGATAATTTACTCTAAGGAACAGTTGTATTATAAAAACATTTAGTCTTTAAATATGATCTAAAGAAAGATCAGTTTAAAACTTTCCAAAATGCATTAACATAAATTCGAGTGTCATGTGAATCGAGAGATCGGCAGGCTCGGGTCACTCGCTTTCCCGAGATAAAAACGGGGATCGTGTCTGCACAAAAGGGTGCAAATACTTTAAGGGCGTAAGGTCCAGTTACATCTTTACTCGCTCAATTAGCGAAAACTGGTAGGATAAGGTTTGCGGCGACCACGACACGGTGGTCCGTAGCAACCCGATCTCTGTCATTCCTCGTTCCGAGCGCGCAGCCGTCTTGGATTTCGGAGATCGCCTCACAGCCGCCCGAAAATTCTTCCTAAGTAGTCGGAACGATAATCCTCTACTTAAAACCTTCCGTATCTTTTCGGTAAGAACACCCGTGCAAAATGCGAACGCGCGCGACTCCGCGACACGACGCACGATTTCGTCTCGAGTGTCCCGAGGTATGGCAAGGTTTCCTTAAAAAAAAACGAAAACTTGTGAGATAGAAAAAATAAACAGAAAACGTAAAAGAAAGACATTCTTAATTTCCGTGACTCAATTCCCAAAATTATTAGAAATTTGAGAAATATAGAAAAGTACGGGAAATTAGGAATATATATATTTGTATTATTTTTTTGGAAAATTTGGTTAATTTTAGATATAATTTGTAGATATAAAGTCCGATTTTTTACAATTAGAATTTTATATGTCTCTTTGCTTGTATTAATATCTCATCAGTTTTCACAAATTTTGATTTTTGTATTAAAATCTTCGAGCTTGAAATTTTAGAGAAATTGTAATTTAAAAAATTTGAATTAGTAAACGAAGTTCACATGATGAGTGTTTGTATAATAAAAGTTTTATTATACAAACACTCGTCGGTTCAAATCATTAGCCCTAAATAAAACACTTAATGCACGTTTCATTACATTTAAAAAAATTACAAAGTATTTCATAAATTATCAACGATACTTAAAGACCCCCTCATTAGATTCCAAAATAATATATTATAATGTCTTCTGGGTTTTTACTCTGGCAGTCAAAATAATTTTTTTCTCGCGGAGTTACGTAGACATTAGCCCCAGGTGCTATGAGATTTTTCTTGCATCACGTTCCCTTGCGTCAATTTCCAATATCCCGCGCGAGATATTCTCGCTTTTTTTCCGTTCATCAGGCGCAATTTAAAAATTGATCGCTTTCATCCATTATCATCTCGTTCCACGGATGGAATTGTGGCGGAACTAATAATTAGGACGGCGCAGCGTAAGTCTGGCCTACCTGCCTCTCTGCCCTTGCCCTAATCCACCTATACATATATGTATACCTCCACCTTTTACCTTTATATCTACCTGCCCGTGACGTCGGAGTTGCGCGGACAACCCACTCATTCCGCTGCGTGTCTGGACTCCTTGACTTGCCAGAAACTCGCCGACGCAATCGAAACGGACCAGATAACGCATTTATCAAGAAACTGCTTTCCACAAGAACCGAAATTACACGGCTCATAATTTGATTTTCATGATTTGTACAAATGTAAATTGAGAATGCATTACTATGCCATAAAGAATGCTTTATTGTAATTTAAAATAATTGCATATTTAAACAATTTTCTTAATATCAACAATAATTTATAACCAAAATAAGTGTAATAAATTATCAATAAAAATGATTTATGTATTATTAAAGATACAAAAAGTGTGTGGAAAAACAGTCAGAATAATGCACTTCATAGATAAGGCGCGAATTGAAAGACGAAGATATATCATTTTGATAACAAGTGTAGAATTAAGTAATGCGGTATTTGAAATACGGATTGCACGAGTCGTTGCAGAAGCGGCGAAGAAGAAAGAAGCGAAGAAGAGGAACTGCGAGCGAGGCGGCCCGCCGCGGCGGTGCAGGGTGGATCCGCCATCAGGATACGCCCTGGGCGTGAGTCGAGTAATTAAATACAAAGTGAACTCATTTGTGGAGCTCGGTGGCAAATAACATGTTACCCGGCAACTAGCGGTAATTTATGAGAGCGCCGTATGACGGCGATCCCACCGCCGGCCCTCCACGAAGATTTCCTATCCCCCGTGTTTTGTGCGCGTCTAACCCTGTATTTCAGCCAGAGCCAGTCCGATGAATATGCATTCACAGATAGAGACGTAAGCTTTCGCAGACTGGACGAAATATTTTGGGGCTGGAATTCTTATATTCGAAGGAACGCCGTTTATTCCACCCTCATTCTCAAAGACGATCGACTGACCTTTCCCTTTCTCTTTACCACGGCCACGTTTCATCAATAATTCATTGAATCCAGTGTGCTGATAGATATGTTCTCCATTAGATCGAGAAGCGAGCAATTAACCCAAAATCATTATTGCTACCTTCCGAGAACGGATTGCCGTCCTTCATAACTTGCAACTCACTCACTCGCCTATATCTTCCGAATTTAGGTATTCCTTAAAATTTCTAGGGCATATTAAGAAGATAACTTAAGAGCACACATTGCATTCCACACACATTTTTGTCTGAAATTAGTCTCTATTATTCATTTTTTGTATCTGTCTATAAAATGCTAAAAAGTTATTAAAAATGCCAGCACTAATTAAAAAAAAAATGTATCATAAAATCTTGAAAACAACATTATTATTAATGATTATTAAAAAAATATGAATAATGCATGGCACACATTATATAATTCAACAATTACCTTTACTATTTCTACGATAAATATCATATAATTGCATAAATCATTATAATCAAATATAAATTATAATTATATAAAAGATCTCTAAGTTTGAATCCCAGTCGAGATAGTATTCTTGGCAACAATAAATTCTTTGTTTTAATACCTATTAACGTTATTATTCAATTGATAATCAATATAAAATGTTAATTCAGTTTCAATATATAATTGCATTTCAAGTTTCAACAAATCGGCGCACAGTACATAAAATTGAAAAGTATATTTGCAAAAATTTGCATATAAATATTGTCAAGCACAAAGATCCGCTTTGACCAAAAATAGGAATCTTTTTCTTATTTGATTTATATAAAAATTCTCTTCGTTTTTGTGTACGAGAAATGTAATTCTTCAAATATATATAACATTAATAAAATTAAATTAAATTAAATTAATAAAAAAATTTTCGCAAATAAAAAATTAGCACAATATGGACATGTAAATAATTTGTTTCCCGTATGTTTTCTTCTTTTTTTAATTATTAGATGAGCTACTGCTTCTGCTGATGCGTGGCCAGGGTGCTTCTCAGCTCTGCTCTCGTGTCTACACAGCCAGCCAGACAGGACGAACTCGTAGAGGCTTGTTAGGAGAGTGCGTGCCGCGCTGATTCCGGGAATACAATTACCGCATTATACGGTTCCGCTTTTCAGATTCCTCATTCTGTCCTTACGGGAGAGTGCTGCTGCCGCCGCCGTTTCATTTT